CTCCGCCCGCGCGCCCGCCGCGCCCCGCGCTGCGGCAGGCGGCCGCGGCGTTCCTTGGCGCGCGCAGCGGCCCAGCCTGCGCAGTGGAGCGCCGCCGCTGGCCTGCCGCCCTCGTCGTCCGCAGGCAGTGGCGTGGGGAGGCGGTGGACGGGGGAGGGGTGGAGGGGAGGGGGAGGGGGGAGGGGGGAGGGCGATGGGGAGGGGAGGGGAGGGGATGGGATGGGAGGGGGAATGGATGGAGGGGAGGGGAAGGGGGAGGGGGGGAGGGGGAGGGCGAGGGGAGGGCGAGGGCGAGGGGCGAGGGGCGAGGGCGAGAGGGGAGGGCGAGGGCGAGGGCGAGGGGAGGGGAGGGGAGGGGAGGGCGGGGAGGAGCAGGTCGGAGCAGGTCGGAGTGGGTCGGAAAGTGGAGCACGCTCTGAGTTCATGGAGACTTCGCCCCAAAGACGCCCCGGGACCCTTCGAGAGCATATCCCAAAACCGCCACCTCAGGAGGCGACATCGCCACGCGCATGGCCCAGGCATGCGCGATTTCACCGAAGGGAACTGCGGCGGGCCCCTGCACAACTCGCGATGCATGGTGCGCAGACGCAGTCTTTGGCTGGCTCCGGTTGGGAGCCAGCCCTCAGCTCGCAGCTACAGTTATGATGTTCCAACCTACTTTAGCCTAGATCACCAGAAAGAATTTCGAACGCACCCCAAAACCCGAGGGTTCTCACGTGTCGGGCCCTGGGAGACACTGTTTCGACGCTCTTTCGATACTCTTTCGACACTCTTCTGGGAGCTCGAAATTATTTCTGGCGTGTGGTCCTCAAGTACGATGGGAGCAACATCAAGCTACTGAAGACCCGCTCCACCGCAGCGCTTGCACCACGCAGAGACTGCACGCGCTGGGGTCCTGCCCGAGAAAGGATGGCGCGGGCTTGGCAACCAGGCTGCCGATGCCGCTGCCAGCGCTTGCGCCAAGTGTCACCTTCAGGCCACAGAAGAAGATCGGGGGCCACACGCGAACCCCTACCCCTACCCCCTACGATTTCTGAGGGGGAGGGTGGGGTTCACTTCGTGGGGGGTAGGGGTAGGGTTCGCATGTGGCCCCCTAGAAGAGCAACACGCTCTCAACTTCTGTATTCGTGCTGCCCAGGCAGTTTGCAAGCTCACTGGGAGTATTGTGAAGGCCTTACGGCCGGTGCCGCCGACCCTGAAGGTTTTGGCCGTCGATGGCGACGGGATGTGTGATCACAGGAAATGGCTAAAGGACAACGTGACGGGGTAGGCGGAGGAAGTGTGTGAGGAGGAGAAGGAGGAGGAGGGGGAGGAGGAGGAGGAGTCTGCAAGCTCGCTGGGCGTATTCTCAAACCCGTGGCCTCGACTGGACCTGTCCGAGGAGTGCCCGTGGGGCGCCCCTGACAGGCCCCCTTCGTTCGGTCAGTCGGACTCGGTCGGGCGTGCTGTTCGTTGCGGCGAGCACGGTTTCGTCCCGCGGCATGGGGACAATGTTTTGATCATTTGTTGACCATTTTGGAGCATGTGTTGATGATGTTTTATTCTTCGTCGAAAACCCCATGTATTGGGAACTAAAGGTAAAGAATGCTTCTCAAAAGGTCGGAACGCTCCTGGGAAGTCCCGCCGATTTCTGAGAGAGCCCTCTCCTTCTCACTGCCGCCCGTCGCTCGCCGCCGAGCCAAGATGTCGAACGAAGCCAGAGGGGAGAAGGTAATGTTAGCCCTGGAGTCATGAAATGGAGGCCTATCCCCCCCGTTCTCTCCCTTTGGGGGGGGAACAGCGCTCCAAGCGCCGACATTTGTTCTTGGTTACAGCTATGTTGGCAGTTTGTGCCGCATGCTCGTGAGCGGCCAGCACGTCGTGGCGGCAGGCGCCTCCTGCGTGCGCGCGGGTCCCGGGGGGCGGCCCGCCGAAACGGCCGTGGGCCCAGCGGGAGACGGTGGAGCTGTTCTGACCGCGGATGGGATGACAGGAGGGGGGGAAGTATCCCCCCCACGCTCACTGCACCTCCGTTGCCGTTCCCCCTTCTCAGACGGCCCAGACGGCCTCGGACCTTCTGGGGAGCTTTCGAAACCTTCTCCGAAGTCCCAAAGAGCCTCTCAGAAGGCAGGAGAACTTCTGAGACGCCCCGCCGCCTTCTGAGAAGGCCTTTTGAGAAGGCCTGCCCCACCCAGAGGTTCGGCTAGGTGGGATGGCTTCCCGTGGCTTCCACTCGCTTCCGTCAGGTGATCGCAAGGATGGATCAAGGGGGCGTGGATTGGTGGCGGGTCTCGCTTCCATGGGGACTCGCGGATCTCCGCCGCCGAGCGAGGCGGCACCAGTTGAATTTTGGGGAGGGCACCTTTCCCGATCCATGGATTTGACGATCGCGCGTCAAATCCATGGACCGAGAATCCATGGTTGCGCGCACCCGATTCAGTTCTGGCAGAGTTTCTTGCTTTGTTGTTGTTGTTTTTGTTGTTGTTGTGGTTGTTGTTGTAATTGGTGGTGTTGTGGTTGT